AGACTGCACCCCTGCCAGTCTGCACCCCTGCCCCTCCCCTGAAGGCTTCAACCCCTGCACCTACAACAAGTATGACCTAACATGCAGTTTAAGGGCCTAAAGCTGTCCCCATTTTCAGCAGATTTCTACCTTGCTAGGTATAAAGTGAGCCCGGGAGGTTTTCTCTGTGCTGCCTTAAGCTGATGAAACTGTGCTGCAGAGCTTGGATTTCTACGACCATCAGCCTCTGCTGACTAGATGGCATTAGGCACAGTGCGCAGTCATTTGAAAGATTTCCCCTCTGCACCTTTTGTTTGGCACAGTACAAACTCTCCATTGTTTTATGTAATAGCTTCACAGAGAAATTGTTGCACATCACACTTTCCCAAAATACTTCTGATCTTGTCAGTGAGTTGATTTATGACCTTTTCTCTCTAGTGGTAAAAGGGATCACAAATGAAAATGAAGCAAATCTAATCTTATAAATAAGTGAACATTACCCCATTTTTCAGATCAGTTTGTGACCAGTTGGTTTTGGTCATGAGCATCCCAGGTTTGAAATGAGAATGGTAGGTCAGGCTTGGGAGATGGCCTATTCTAATGGTGTCCCAGAACTGGAATGAGGAATGTTGCATGCCAGTATTGAGTAGCATTAAGGGCAGAGCAGTGGGGAGAAAAAGAGTACTAGAGCAGCATCTGTTTGCCTTGGGGCCAGTTCAGGCATTCCTGTCAGTCGCACTTTCATAAGGGTCAAAATACACTTAAATTCCCCCACAAAGAAAAGTTATTATGGAAATTGGGGAATAGGCTTTCAGGAACCAGCTGGCTGAAATCCAAGAGCAGGTGTACTGAATGAGGGCTGCAAAATCTCATTGACTTGATGTGGACCCTGTTGAATGCATGTGAGGGCACAATCTAAACCCTCTAATCAACTTCTTTCTTTTATCACCAAAAATGGTTTTGTCTCACTCCACTTTGAGCCCTGTATGTGTTTGTTTATAGCTGATGTTTCTTCTCTTAAACTCTAGTGACACGCCCTGCTCAGAACACACCTCCAGCTTCTATGCTACAGAAGGCTGCTAAGATCACCCCTTTTGCAACAAAATCAAGCTCCAATCAGGTAAAGAGAACTCGAGCAGATTTTACAGGAGCTGAAAACTGTCACTAACTTCTGACCTGCTGTAGTCTTAAACTGAATTAGTGCTGTTAAGTCAGAAAATGTTCAAAGATGAAAACAACAAGTTGCAAGGGCTGGAGTTGTTTTATGTATTTTTGGAAAGTTGGAAACCTGATATGGGTTTGGTGCCTGCTGTCATGAACAGAGGCAGAAAATTATGCATAGTTCTGTGTGAGCTTGTAATCAGAGCTTTCTCATATGAATGGATCCTTGAAGCCACTGAACTGCCTGAATTATTTAAGGGTCTTAAAAATATATTGAATTAAAGGGGTAATGTAGGGGGGTGCATTAGGATTTTTCCTGATTTTGAAAGGCCTGCTCAAAAGAGTTGAGAGTTAAATCTTGGCAGCACTGCTTTGAACTAAGTAATGAATACTTGCATTTGGCAGAATAATCCCATAGGGCAGTTTGTGTCTGATTGCTAGCAGCAAGCATTTGTTGGCATTAAGGGTTTCCATTTTAATAGGTCTTCATTCTCAGCACTTTGCTTTCAGGGCAAGTCAGTTCCACCCAGCACTGGGTTGGAGAAACAGGTTCACCAATGGAAGGAATCAGATCTGGTCATTGCAGGAATCAGAGAGGAGGTGAGATCTTTAAGGAGTTTTTTCTGCTTTCTAAAAAGATGGATTTATTATCATGTGGGAATCACTCTTCAATATATCCATTTCCCAATGGTGTCCTTCAATAAATTAGAAATCTTACCATTATACTCTGAACCAATTCTGTACATATTGTCTATCTGCCCATTATGGCTGCTTTAACAAAGCATTATTTATATTGTGAACCCAGAATTGTCTTTCCCTCTAATTGTAAAGGAAATGCAGGAGGCCTACTTCCATTGTTTGCAAAGTGCCATGAACTTAGGACTGCATAGGAATATTAGTTGGCAACAGAGCATTGGTTTCACATCACATTATGTCACAATGACTGAACATTCTTTACCTTGTGATTCTGTAGATTGCACATTTCCAGAAGGAGTTAGATGAGCTGAAAGCGCGAACCTCCAAAGCCTGTTTCCAGGTGGGTACGGAGGAGGAGAAGAAGATGCTGAGGATAGAGTCTGATGATCTTCACACCTTTCTCCTAGAGATCAGAGAGACAACAGAGGTAACTTCTTGTATGTCTGAATGTAGTGTGTCCGGGTGTGTAGGAGGGTAGGCAGCCATTGGAGATGTCTGTACTTGTGGCAATGAAGGCATTAAGAGATGAACCAGATTTCAACCAAAAAACTTCACTATTCACAGTCCCTTCATGGAGATGTCAGTATGCTGAAGACGAGTCTGTTGGAGGGATTTGCAGGAACAGAAGAGGCTAAAGAACAGAATGAGCGCAATCATAGTTCTGGATATTTACGTTTGCTCTACAAGAAACCCTTGGACCCTAAGAGTGAAGCACAGCTTCAGGTATAAAGCATGTTTGCTGGAGTTTAAAATGAAATGAGACTGTTGAGACTTGGGTAGTACCCAAAGCTTGGTTCTGCTACACTAATGTTGCTTCAGCCTAGTACAGCGAATAAAAGTGTTAACAGTGTCTCTTGAACCCTTGGAAAATATGACACTCCTGAAATTCCCATGTAGTTCCTATTTTGCATGGAGAAACCAAGGAGCTATAGAAGTTGAAGTGCCTTACTCAAGATCAGAGACAAGAATAAACTTCCTGCCTCCCCAGGACCCTACTCTAAACACTGATGTTTGCTCAGGGGGTTGAAGGTACAGGTATATTCTTTGGCAAGCATGGATTCATTGTTCCGATACTCTGTAAAAGGGTCTCCTTAGAATTATTTTTATCGGTAGCAAGTGCTTTGCCGAACAATTTGATGATTTATTGTGCCTTACAAAATAGCGGTTAATTTCATGGCTGGCAGAGCAGAACACTAAATGGTGTTCTGAATGCAAGATTACAATGGAAAATTCCCAAAAATTCACAGATGCTGTAAAGAGATGAAAGAATCGAGGGTCAAATACTCTGCCCATATGTGTGCGCTGTCTCTACAGAAGCAGTATTTAGGGGTGTGTGGTATTATATTCCTTCAGGCAACATAAAATAAGCATGCCCCTAAAACTGAAATGTGTAAGTGTTGCTTGGTTTCTTGGACATGATAGGGTTCCTGTAGAGAGTCCTTTGAAGACGCAAGTGAAGATGGTTGTTTTTTATTACAGAACTAATTGCAGGTTTGTGCTACTAAAAATGACACAGCACTTCAGAATTCAACACTCTGTCCTGTTTCAGATTTCTCTTAAAGGGAAGATGTCCATCTTCCTCACTCATGTTACTGCATAGCTGTATAGAGTCTTTGTACCGAGTGCCCCATTTTTACCTGGCATTCATTGGCAGTTTTGGACCTGTTGGAATCCTCCTTAGCACCAAGAAATAAATAACTATTCTAAGTATATTAATTCACATGCTAGTTTAGTGGCACATCCTTCTTCAGATGTGCTGCTAAAATTCCCCGTGGTGTTGTGTATTAATTCACTGCCCAACTTGTGTAGTAAGTGTTTCTCTCTCATAAAGCTTTATTTCTCTGTTGCTTCTCAGAACAGTGTGCATGACTTAAACCCAGGTTATTCCTCCCTTTAAAGAGCCTAAGGCACTGACTTTAAAGGAGGAACATGGTGGGGTGGGCATGGTGGAGGGGAAGAGAAACACGAAGACTGGGACCAAGTTAGGAATTTTCTGGAAGGCACACGAGGGGCAGGGCTGATGACTGAAGTAGATTATCATTATATTAGGTTCTGCCCCTGTAGAGAGAAGTGGCTAGATGAGGTTATGTGCTTTGTGGCTTGATTTTAGTTAGCTTAAAGGGTCCTCACTTGGCTTAATGGAATCTGAGCCTCCAAAGAGAAATGGAAACATGACCTTGCTTTGCTCAATAGGAAATTCGGCGCCTACACCAATATGTGAAGTTTGCTGTTCAGGATGTGAATGATGTTCTGGATTTTGAGTGGGACCGGCATCTGGAAGAGAAGAGGAAACAAAAGTGAGTGACTGAAGTTAGGATAGAATATGAGTCTGTCTCTAAGGAGTGCTTGAATGAGTTGAGCATCTGACACTAACTGGACAGAGGGGACCTTATTCTCAGTGCTCCAGAGCCTTTTTGAAGGGTTTGCTAACAGTCAAATGTGATGCATTCATAATGAAACTAACATGAGTCAAAGCCCAAGTTTGGATTATTCAGTGGTGGCTTTGAGATGCCTTTCAGCAAATCCCTGCAAGTTCCACTAACAGGAATGCCTGTAAAACAAGCTTTTTACATACTGAACAAACCCTTGGTAGTAGTTGGTAATGAAGCCTGTTTCTTAAATACATGTGCAGTGAAGGAGCAGATTGAGTAAGATTGACAGATACCACAAAGATTACATCTCTAATCTGCTCTGCCTTGGTGTGTGTACCAAAGTATCCTTTTGGGTGGTCAGGTCCACCTAAGTTTATAGATGAAGTCAATGGTTTGGGGGTTGGGGAAGTGCTTGCAGCCAAGCTAGGTATCCACTGGCCTCCCACTCTAATCTGTGTTTTTGTTCTTATGCTTCAAGGCGCCTGGTAGTTCCTGAGCGTGAGACTTTGTTTAACACTCTTGCAAACCATCGTGAAATAATCAACCAGCAGAGGAAGAGGCTCAATCACCTGGTGGACAGTTTGCAGCAGCTCCGCCTGTACAACCAGACATCTCAGTGGCATGTCCCCAGTGACACTTCTTCTCATAGTAGTGCTCAAAGGTGTGTGTCAAAAAAAAAATTAGGGCAGTGTTTTGAGTTGAGGCTCTTCCCATAGTGCTGCAGAAAGGTATTTGTCCAAGGGAGACTGCCCTTTAGAGCCATAGCATCTGAGGATAGAGATGTCGTGTGTTGGGAGCTGGGAACAACCACAAGAATGGACTGTGGCTGTAAACATTCTTGTTCGGTTCCTAAGTAATACAGGTGTTCTTTGTAATGGCTTGAAAATTATTCTTCCTTAATTGGCGACAACCTAATTATTGTATATTGGAATCTCTGAAAGATACGTGCTTGCTCTAGTGTAAATGTTGCAAAGACATGGACCCCCACATGATTTACTATTGTCCCTGAAGACAGCAGTTGTATTTTCCTTGGGATTGGAGGTGGTATTCTTTGTGAGTAACTTTAAGGTTTTGTTGCTTGCATTTAAATAGTACATAGCATCTGGAGAATGTCCTGTGGTATGCACTCTTTTTTTATGACCTTGTAGTCTCTTCAGATGAGTTAGTCAGTTACTAATGGTCTTCTGCATAACCCCATAGTCTCTTTTCTTCCTATACAGCTATTTGGGTAGAGCAGCATATGGCTCCTCTTCCTGCCATGCATGTTTGTTTCACTGTTGTGCCTTATTCCAGTTCTGACAGTGACCTTGAGAGCCTGCGAAATGCCTTGATGAAAACGACCTTGGAATCGCATGTCAAGCCCCTTCCAAAAGTACCTGGTAATTGTTCTGCCCCTTCCCCCTATGCATGTGTTAAACATGATTTGTGACTGGCTTTCCCATGGTACTCTGGAGGATAGTAACTTTGTTGTCCCCCCCCCCTTTTTTCTAGCTAAATTGTCCCCAGTGAAACAGGCGCAGCTGAGGAATTTTCTAGCCAAAAGGAAGACTCCTCCCGTGAGATCTACTGCTCCAGGTAAATATGTGATGCAGTAGGTATCTGAAATACTTGCATCTTTCCAGGAACTGTTAGGATTGTGCTGTGTCTACAACAAAAATAGATTCCTAAACATAGCTCTTTTAGTCTTCGCTCTCTCTCCTAGTCCCTACCTTTTTCAAAAATGTGGGGGGCTTCTGTCAAACTAGTTTCTGACTGGAAGCTTCCTTTTCCTGTACAGATGGGACAAATAGCACTATTTCAATCAGCCCACCTTATTGTCATTCACAGGTGTGCTGCTTGCTTAGAAACCTAACTTTCAAATGGAGGAGAAGTAGAAATCAGGACTTGGATTGTATTAGTGCCTGGAAGTTTCTGTCATAGGCTCCTGCCCCTCATCATGCTACGCACTGTATGCCTCAAGCTCCCCAGAAATATGATCCCCATTGCATGTTGCTTACAATGTTGTAGGAAGGTCATCATTGTGCAGTGCATCAAAATGCAGCTCTGTCTCCCCTCTCATCCTCTGACTACATTTGTCAGTAAGATGCATTCAAGCTGAATGTCTAGTTTCTTACTGACTGAGCTTTCCAGCTTGAAATCCAGGTTCAGAATAACTTTCTAATAGATACATTAAACCAAGTTCCTCTTTTATTTGTGTTACCTGACGTCATCCCAGAGTATCTGGTGTAAACATTTCTGATTCAAGCACCACTTGTTACGTGCTCTGAAGTAATAAGTCGCCATACATTTTGGAGATTAAATGGTAGCAGACCTTTCTATATAATAGCAACAAAGCAGGTGACTACAGGCACAGCACTTTCTTTGCTTTTGTGATTCTCCTGCCACAGCCTCCCTATCTGCACTGCGGCTTTGCAGCCTGAACAGTCTCATGGCACAAACACACAGCAGGGAAGGTGTCATTTGGACAAAAGCCTGCAAGTGAGAATTGCTGTCACCTTCATTTTAAACCTGAGAAACTGGATCTTTTTCTCCTTCCTTTCTAACAGATAGGCATTTTGTTTGTCCCAGAATACACCCTAAAAAAGGTTCATCGGATGAGATGTACTAACAGTTTATCCTAGGACATCGCAAAGTGCATCTGAATGGTTATCTCAGGACTGCATCCTTGAATCAACGGTAGAAAAGCAGCAGTACATTCAGCCGCTTACTAACTCCTGATTTAGAAGGGTGATATGTGTACGTGGCAGTCCTGGGGTATTTCTATTCTGGAACAAACATAGGCACAACTTGTCCAGGGACAAATGTGACTTGTGCACCTACCTATAGAGATTTTCCAGGATCTCTTGGCCCAATCCCTATTCAGTTGCTAGTCAAGTCAAGTAGTATGCGTCTGGTGTCACTCACCACTGTAAAGAAAAATTTTGCCCACTGCATGTTGGCAGGGAAGGAATAGCAGAGATGTGGGGCCCTAATTTGCACACTAATAAACCATTTCAAATGAAGTAAGCTGAATTTCATGGCAGTAGGGGCAGCTGGTAAAACAGTTGTCTATCAGTTAGAGCTGCAGAGGTTGGCTATACAACATCTGTGGGTCAGAACAGTGGCTCTTGTAGCACTGGAATGCCTTGGAATATCACCAGCTCAGATCTTGAGGCCAGTTCAAGAACAACATCACATTATTTGGTCATCTTTGACATCCAGGCTAAGGGTGGAATCCTAAAGGCCCTAAACATCTTGGAAGCTGAGTGGTTTGTATTATACTGTTAGCTTCCTCCATTTATAGGAGGTGTGAGGATTCTTCCTCATGCCATAACTAATGTCTTTCTGCTTATTTACACTTTGGACCCTCTCTTAATTTTATCCCTACATCCCAAAATACCTACTAACCTTTCCTTTGACGGTGCATTGTCCAACGTCATGCTTGTACTTGTCCTTTTCGTGATCAATGTCCATCTAGGTGTTTGAGTATAATGATCAAACAGGTCTTTATTTTTGAAAGTGAACAGGTTGAGAAGTTGCACATTAGCTCCATGTGGCTCTTGGGCATGTGGCATCTGGCACCCTAGTTGGGAAGCCAAATCCTTTGAACTTAAAGCCGGCTTTTACTTTCATAATCAACATTCATTCAGTATAAACAGAGTGACTCTTTCCTAGCCACTGAGAGTAGGTTGTGCCTCTTCTGGCTTTGACTGACAAAATAATGTTGCTCTTCCAACACTGCAGCTAGTCTCTCCCGGTCAGCCTTCCTGTCAACAAGGTTCTGCGAAGATTTAGATGAAATCAGCTCAACGTCTTCCATTTCCCAGTCACTGGAGAATGAGGATTCACCAGTTCTGGAGCAGGAAGAGGAAGTTGCTCCACTCCAGGTTTCACGACATGCGCCTGTGGTCCGTACTGCCTCCGTCCAGCCTGGCCTGCTGACACAGTCTCCACCATTGGGTAAACCACAACTCTCCATGGGCACTTTAAGTGAGTAGTTTGCAGTGGTTTTGCCTTTCTTATTTGATCTTTCTGATGCATTTAACCTCTGTAGTGTCTGTCATAACTTCAGATTGTGACTAAAAGGGTGTGTAGTGTGATAGTTCACATTGCTAAGCCTCCAAGGGCAGTTACAGATGCAGAAAGGTCAATCTTCGGAACTTGGGCTTAATATTATTGAAGTAATGTGAACATTTGATTGTGCTTTACCTACCACAGGATCCTTTAAATCAAGATTGAGAAACATTACCTTAATTTATATGCATTGGTTGAACAACAGGAGGATTTTGGTGAACTCTTAATTTTTTTTTTTTTTAGTGCCCATGTCTTCAACCAAAATCATTCCACCAGGGGCAGATAGTACAATGCTTGCAACAAAGACTGTGAAACATGGGGCCCCCACTCCCACCGTTACCGTTCCTGCACCACAAGCAGCTGCTGCTGCAGCACTAAGAAGGCAGATGGAAAACCAGAATCCAGGTACAAATGCAGCTTGGTTGACTCAAGTCTGTGTTATACACATGCAGTTTAGTGAATACGTATTTAGTAGTAACACAATGCTGTGAAGGGTCAGAAACCATCGACCTTGCCTTGAGCCAGGTCTGGTGCAGCTGGGATCTACGTGTGCCTCTTCACCCAGTGCTGCTGTATCATTTTCCTTCCAAAATGCAAGAAGAATTCCCACCCAAAACTACCCGTTTTTCATCTGTAAAGGTATAAGAGTTGCTGACCGCATGTCTTCACGTCTTCAAAGAATAATGTTATGTACATATGATATATATATAGGTCTCAGGAGTTCCTGGCATTTAAACCTGCACAGCTAAGAAGTCAAATGAGTTATATATTTAAAAAAAAAAATCCCAAGGATTGATATAGAGTAAAAGCAGGGATGCAGTTTGCCAACTCTGCACTCTAAGTTACATAATAAATATGACTGCTTGATCGGTATTTTAGTCCTTGGATGGGCTACAAAGATTTTGGAATTTTTTAAAGAGAAACTCCCGGTGTTTTGGTTCTCAAGGGAGAAGCTGACTAAGTTGTTCTTCTAAGTTAATGGGAGCACATGAAGGAGATGGGGAGGTGCACATGCTAGAGAAGTGCATTAGAAATGTCAGTTTTTGTATTAGCCTATGATGAGGGATACATAGGTAAGGGAAGTTATATTAAATATGACTGTCTCTAAATCTAACAAGGAAAAACATGAACTCCCAGTTTACTGGATTGTATTATCTGAAGAGTTGTATAATTTAAACTACTGTACTGCTGTATTTTTATAGAGCAGTTATCTTAAGTACAATACAGTAGGATATGTGATAGTACCTGCCAAAAGTACCAGTTTAATCCATAGAACTAAGAGTACAGATGCTACAGTTTTGCACACAAATAAACAGAACACAAGTTTGCCAGGTCAAAATGGTAGTCATTCATAACCAACAGGTACTTCTGTTTATACCATTTTGGCGGGTAATTTCGGTACCTACAGTTGCTTTTTCTATAGACTGTTTTTCTGCTCTGAAACCTTTGAGGGGAAGGTTCAAACAGAAAGAATGGTTATTGCACTTCCAGAGGTGAAACAGCCAAACTTCTGAACTGTAGTAAGGAGATCTGTCAAGTACTGATAACCATTATTCATACTTCTTCATCATCAGTGTCTTCCCTATGTAGCCATTCAAATCCTTCTATGTATCATAGCTGTGTCAACTGTAAATCTCTATTTTGTAGTAAATTATTCAGATCACACTGGTGCTGTAGCCCCAAGTTTCCTGGTGCTTATGTGTAGGTTGGCGGTTCCATTGTGCAGTACAAGCTGCTTTCCTGTTCTTCTAGGTGTGTTCACAATTAGACTGTTTGTTCTAGATGGAGCTTAGTTAAGAAGCTGCTCCTCTCCTTACCTGTACACACCATGCACAAAGTGAAGACCCCACCTCGTGTGGGATTCATCTTTGTTCTTTCTTAAAGCTGTGAGCACTTCCCTGACTGAATCGACACTGAAGAATGTCCCTCAGGTGGTGAACGTGCGGGAACTGAAGAACAGCGCCTCAACACCCGCTGTTTCAGCAGTAATCGGGTACGTGAATGCTTCCCCTTCTTTACATTTTTAAAATCTCTTCCCTTAAATAGCCCTTGCAACAAGGCACATCTGTCCGTAGGGGGCAGTAGTACTGTTCTGTATGATCTGATGAACCTGTTACTGCAGTTGTCTTTGGGGGAGTTAGGAAGAAATGAGTAGCTGCATGGTATTAGCAGTCCTCCCCTTGTAAGGGAGAGGTGGCAGGTATCATCTTCCCCAAGTTATTCAGGGATATTCTACAGGATTTATCTAGCCAAAGGAAAGCCCTAGGTTCTGGTTTAGAGTCTAATCATCTGGGCCACTCTTGACTTCATTCTTCATTGCTATGTTTTGGTGTAAATAAAATCTATGCTAGTCCAGCCCTGTTCTTCTGGGGTTCCAGGTCTTATCCTTTAATTGCTACTGCACTTCCTGTATCCTAATGCCTAACTGGCAAACTTTAAATTTCGGCATGTGGTCTCCTTTTCCCATTTACTAATATTTATGTATACGTCCACTTCTGTGTAGGGACAACACCTCTTTGCCAATGAACTATGGGTCTGTGTGAGCTGTCCAGCTGTTCTGTTTATGCCCTCTTTTGCAACTAAAAACATCTGCTCTTTAGCATACCTCTCCAGGCTTAGTCCCCTGAGTTGCTGTCCTTCAGGATTAATTTTGCTCTCCAGTTTCTCTGGCAACTTGTTTCATTGGAATATATTAACAGTAGACTCGCTGTCCATTTACCTGGGGTTAAATATTCTCTAGAGGCAGATCTCCCCAGAAACATTAGCCGCCTTCCTCAGCAGAAGCCCCCAAACGTGTGCTGTCTGTATTTAATTTACAGTGTCAAGCAGCCCTAACGTTCCTGTGCATTTAAGCGAAACTGTTGGCCTTCCTATTTTTCATATCCCCCAGACAGCAGCCGACTCAGCTCATTCCATAGATTTCTGTCGTATCGCTAGGCTCTGTCACCAGCTGCAAACCTGATTCTTCCTTTTGTCTTGGTAATGACCTTGAAGCCCTCATGTGCTGATCACTTAAACAAGAGATTGTGGGTTTTTAAAAATAAATAAATAAAGAGGTGGGGAGGAGAGAATGACTGGCACTGGGGATCATAGGATATTTGTGTCATGGAAAAAGGCAGTACGGGGGAGGAGAAGCTTACCAAATGCATCCACGTAAGTCCTGTGGAATTGCAGATGTTTCGCCTCAGTTAACAGCATGGCTGGGACATGGACATCTTCGAACTGTTTCTGTTTACTGCATTGATTGTGTCTTCCCTTCACTGCTAAGGAGCAGGAAGCAGGATTCCATGGAAACAGTTTATCATCATGCTAGGGTGAAAGGAATCTGAAAATGGTGTTGGACATCAGCTGTTGCTGAACTTCCTCAAGGAGTTAAACCACAGAATTTGCATGTTAGTCTGGAGAGGGTTCAGAAGTTCTTTAGCATTTTGCTTCCCCAAAAGCACAAGTTCCTCTGAAGCTCTGCTTTTGAGACTCTGTAGGCCACCAAATAGCAGTGCCAAAAACTTCTGCCAGCAGTCTTCTTGGGAGAGGTTGGAGAAGTGACCTTTTCTATGTTCTTAACTTCATAACATATGAAATTGATTTAACTAAATCTCTCGCCTCGGTGAACATCTCCCTTATCATTCTGCAGCCACTATGGGAGGCCTCTATTTGCGCTGAAAAAGTGAGCCTTACCTTAGATGAGCATTAGCTTGAACTCGAATGATATAACTACCTTAGCTTTAAATAGTTTTACTTTTGTAGTATCGATTTTTATCTATAATTCATGAGGTGCCCTATTGTCTTGTGTATCAACAGCTTTTACAGCTTTATCATATAACTGACCTTATAAAAATGTACCAGCTAAAAATTCTATCAAATATGCCAGCCTGTCAGGCTGATCACTAAATAAAGAGCATTCATGCAGCAGAGTCAACTCATCAGTTTTCACTACTTCAGGCATCCTGCTTTGTGCCACGGTGGCACACTCTCCGGATTGTTAAGCAGTAATACTTTCCAGTCCTTATCAGCTGTTAAATTGCCTGTGGTTAAATAAGCTGGTGATCTCAATACAATTCTTGGAACCGTGTTTTACTAGAGGAGGGGAGGGGAAACCTCTCTTCACATTTGGAACCTAATTGCCTTTAATTAGTCTTGAATTAGCTTGAGAACTGTATTCTCTAGTTGGCGGGGTGGACCAGGCATGAAGCACTGTTGCAGGACAATGTTGTGGGGTGTACAACTACTGCTACTTTTAATTTACTTGCTCTTTGCTTTGTCTTCTGTCTGGCACCTTTATTTGTTGCACTAATACATATCAGACCAGAAACTACACCATTGTAATAAAACATCACTCATTTTTATGATATTAAGATATTTTTTGTGGGAATATTGACACACATGTGCAAGATCAATTATATGCGGATGACGTATTTACAACTTTCACTGTCCTGTCAAAGTAACTGAAAGCCTCATTGCAGAATAGTCAGTATCTTCCATGATATCTGGAGGTAATGTGGCAGAATGGCAAAATAGAGAATTGAGGTCTTCCAGGTATAGACATCCTCTGGCTGAAACTGGGTATGAAAAGCTTCTGGTGTACAGAAAGTAATAACTGATCTTTGTGAGTTCCCTGTCTTTAATTTGAAACATGACAGCAACCTTCCACTTTGTGCTGGCATTCAGTGCAGCTCCAGCAGAATCAGGAAGACTCAATTATCCTCTCAATTGATACGTATTAGAACAAAGAACATTCAGCTGCACGCAGAGAGGCTCTATCTTTATCACTAGGTTCTAGTCTCTTCCCAGCGTACTTGAAGAAGTTCTTGAAACCAATGCCTTACAAAAAGTATGCCTTACACTTGATAGCAGCTATTAAGTGTAACCCGAGTGCCTTCAGAAGACTGGTGGGCTTTAAGGCAGGGTTTTTTTGTGTGTGTCCTGGTATGACCCCATCTCACTAGCTTCTCTGTAACTAAGTTTGGAGACCTCGGGGCAAGGGTGGTCTGTTAGCTTCTGTTGGCTGATGGTTTAAATGTTTTAATTGAAAGCCTCCAAAAAGCTTGTTTTAAAATTGTCAATCTATGGCTTTGTTAACATAATCACTTGTAGTAGCAGGGTAAGCATAATACAGGGGTCAGCAACATTTTTGGGCGGAGTGCCAAAAACACCCACAGCTTCAGCTTGTAAGGTGTTGGTGTGCCAAGGGTGGATGATGGGAGAGCCACGAGGGGCCCAATCCTTGCTGTTGCTGTGTAGCCCCAGCCCCTTCTCTGCTGTCTACCCAGAGGCATGTGTGCCAAGCAAAATGCCTTCAAGTGCCATACTCTGGTACCCATGCTGGGAGTTTTCTACCCCTGGCGTAATACATTCAATAGTCTGTGTTCATATGGAAGCAGGAGGAGAGAATCAGAAATAGCCTTCAGGGTAGCAGTGAGAGAAGAGAGGAGTTTATAAACTGGAGTGGGTAGCAATCAGCAGTTCCTCTTCTGTAAGCATATATATATATTTATTAAATTGGTGTGAACCAAAGAAGGTTGACATGAAAGTTCTGTGCTTGCAGGTGCAGCATTTGAATAGGTTAAAATCATCCAAATAACAGAAATAACTGTGCTTCACTGGTGAGATCTTGCTTCTGCTCTAAGAGTTATCTGCATCCACACTAAGTTGGAAAAGTTTCATTCACCAGCTGTATCTGTGATTACAGGGAAATGTTTTGTGTAATGCTTCCTGCATAGGCCTCAAATCTTTGCTGAACTTTGTGTTGTGCTGGTAACAATAAGTTAGCAAGGCTACAGTGCTGACTAAGTTTAAAAAAAAAAAAAAAAA